ATGTTGTACCTCGTTCCTTTCCTTCAGGGAACAGTAGTTATATGCATAACATTACGTTTCTATTCTCAGCAGGTTTCTAAGGTTCTTCTTCTACATATTAAAAAAGTTGTTCAACAACTGAGTGGAGCACTACTGCTACTAGTGGTGAGAAAGTGTATTGCACCTTCCTTATTCAAAGTCAGTGCGGTCCCACAGGCCAAAGTTAAAAACTGTTGTTCTTTCGAGGCCCTCAAGGTGGCGCTCATGGCCCACAGGTTAAGAATCTCAGCTGTAGACTGACCTGAATGAGCAAAGCAGCGTGCTCTGGTGCCCCATAACGAAGGTCATGCCCGTTGATGGCCAGCACGCGATCACCGATACACAACTGTCCATCGCGTGCCGCCAGGCCCCCCTCCAGCAAGTGAAAAATATAGACCCCGTGCTCCTCCGCCCTCCGCACAAGCTTGATGCCCAGCTGCTCGTCTGGAGTGCTTTTATTCAGGACCACGTGGACACTGTCGTCTCTCAGGGGTTGGGAAAGGCCGTGGGACTGGTGGCCCCCGGCGGCATCGTGCCCGTGGCTGTATGGGAAGCCATGGGCGTGTGAGCGGTAGCGGTAGCGTTGCTCTCGCAGCACGGTTAGCCGCAGCAGTTGGCAGGGCTGCCTCAGAGTTGCCACTGCAGAGGAGTGGGGCACGTTGCTGATATCAATGCCATTCACCTGAAAGAGAAACGGAAACTCATTCTAAAGACAAAAATCTCCACTTGGATTGTGTTTGTTCAGTGAAACTTTTTTAATCACCTTTAGAATCATGTCCCCAGGCAACAAGCGGCCATCCCGAGCTATGATGCCCTCTCTGTAGATATCTTGGATGAGGATGCGGACCAGAGGGGTCTCATTGCCACCCACAACACTGATGGCCAGTGGATCTGAAGGATCCTGTCGTGTGATTTTAATACTGGTAACTTCACCATCAGGGATCAGGTGATGCAGCTGAGGGAGTGCAAGCACTAGAGGAGAAGGGGAAGAAGAAAAAAYCTACTAGTCACCTACAGCAGTGGTTCCCAAACTTTTTATCTTCTGACCCACAAAATATCCATGGCAAAAACTTGTGACGCCAAACATTACTGGTCTGAGTACACAAACTTTGTTAATAACCCTAAAAACACAGGCTTTTTGACAATCTAAACAGCTTGTACACAAATATAAATACTTATCTATACTTTTTTGTGCTTTTGTAATAATAATTATAGGGAAAATATTACATCATCAATTATTTTATTAGCCTTTAAATTGATTTCTGGAGATTATCCAAGGTGCTTCATGACCCATAATTGGGTCCCAAGCCCAACTTTGGGAACCAAAGTGCAGTGGTTCCCAAACTTTTCAGCTTTTGACCCACAAAATAACAGCAGCAGAGACCTGAGCCCACAACAGTTTCTGGATGATAAACATTTGTATCAGGTCAACTAAACATGGGCATAGTAACAATATTTTTTATACTACGTTTATTCATTTTAAATACACTAGCCTCACTCTTTTGTAACAACTAAGACAAAAATGTAATTAATTCCGAAACTCTTTTCAGGACCCCATCTTGATTTTTCGGGACCCCACTTTGGGTCCCGACCCCAACTTTGGGAAACACTAACCTACAGTACAACCATATGCTTTGGATAATTTTCAGGAAGTAATGACTTGGGTGGAGATGCTGAAAAGTTTAACTTAGATCACTGTACTGTAGAAATGTTACATGAAAAAAATCTGAGCTTTTATTTTGACAGTAATAAAAAAAGGCATTTAATGAGCTGAAAAGACTGGCATTGATTAGATGAAACCTAATCAGCTGAACCAACAAAAGAGATTTTGTTAAATAACGATAGAAACATAATTTCCAGTTTATGCAAATCTGATTGTGAAACACAAACTGGGCCATGCTAGAGGAAGGGTGGACCTTCTGTGGCTGGTGATTTTCCCGGTCACTGAACGAGAGAATATTTCTCATCTTATTTCTGTTTTATAGAAACAGGAGGAATAATTCTGGATGCTCAGTTAAATTTTAGAAGCCATGTTGACAAAATCTGCAAAACTGTTRGATCGAATATAAATTGCTTTAAAATGATTAGACATTGTCTGACACTTCACTGCGCAGAGATATTTTTAAATTCATCGATCCTCTCACCTACGGAGCGACTGTCTGGTCTCAGACTAATCAAACTACACTCAAACCACTAGCAAGTTTGTATAATCGGGCCTTAAAAGTTTTATATCAAAAGCCGATTAGATTCCATCACTGTCACATTTTGGTTAAATTTGGCATTTTGGATTTTACAAATTTCTTAAATTACAATGTTTTAAAAATGATTTTTAAGTGTTTAAATGGACTTGCACCAAGACTGTTAAGCGATTGTGTACAGAGACTGCAGGGTAACAGCAGATCTACCAGAGCAGCTTTGGAAGGAAATTGTAAGGTCCCCTTTCGAAGAACAACTTTTGCTCAAAGRGCTCTGTCTGTGAGAGGATCTACAATGTGGAATTCACTTCCTGTTAATTTAAAGTCTGTAACCAGTTTTAGAATGTTCAAAAACCAAACAAAACTCTGGTTACGTCAAAAACAGACCTGTACTCACTTCTGTTTTATATTTTACTGTTTGTATATACTATGTTGTGCTATTTTAACTGATTATCATTTCAATTTTTAGAGTTAGTTTTTAAAAGCCCATCTAGGGACAAGTGCTGCGAATTAGCTGTTGCTATTGCACCATGATGCAAACATGGGACTGCTGTTTTATTCAGTTTGTCTATGTCGATGTGTGTCTGTCCCTATTAAATAAATTAAATTAAAATTATGAAACGTGTCCCTCTGTTTCTCAAATGCTGAAGGCTCAGCTGTTCATACTTGATGCTGTACTTTTTTTTATTCCAAAGTCAATATTTAGATTTATCAAGGCTTTTTGCTCAAAAGGTGTGGAACATGTAAACCAAGACCTGTAGCTGTTCTGTATCCTTTCTTTCTCACCACTGCTCATCATTTCTGTAGTTTTTCATCGACACTGTCTGGTCCAAAAAAAATGTTGCCACTAAAAACAAGGTCCCACACTAATATTTAGTTGGACCATCCTATAGCTTTGATTACGTCACATTCTCTGTGGCATTGTTTGGATAAGCTTCTACAACGTCACCAGGTTTATTTCATCCAGTGATGCATTAATGTTTCACCAACATCTTACATTGATGATGGTAGAGTCTGACCTTCTCCAGCACATCCCAAAGATTCTCAATGGACTCTGTGGAGCCAATCCATGTGTGAAAATGATGTCTCATGCTCCCTGAACCACTCTTTCACATTAAGAGCCCCATGAATCCTGGCATTGTCATCTTTGAATATGGCTGTGCCATCAGGGAAAAAACAATCCATTGATGGAATAACCTGCTCATTCAGTATATTCAGGTCAGCTCAGTGGCGGATCTAGGATTTTTCTGAGTAAGGGCTCATCAAGGGGCCACAATATTCATAGAGGGGTCAAGTATTTGTTGAACATCCATTCACACAAATCCCCAGTTTTGGTAAGGTGTAGACATTTAACCAGTCAAACACTTTAAACACTTGTAATGTAATATAATTTTTTAATAAAGGGTACCATTTTACAATAAGGCTCCCCTTATTGATGGCTTTTAAAAAGTTTATAGATAGGTTATTAATCTGTAAACACTTTATAAATTATTAATAAGTGTTTATTATGCATTAATTAAGGTTAAAAAGAGACAAAATATAATATTGCACTTTTAGATGTAATAAATGTGAGCAGATTTGTCTCATTATTTGGTAAGAAACTGGACAGTTTGGTCTTTCTCGTCCCTCATTATTGCATAATAAACATTTATTAATGACTTATAAAGTGTTTACAGATGAATTAGTAACCTATCTATTAACTCTTTCTAAGTCATCTGGGGAGACTTATTGTAAAGTGGTACCAAAGAAAATCTTGCACAGTAAATTCTRCTCARCAGTTTTTCATTCATTTTACTGTACATAGATAAAATATTCTCAAACACAACATGTGAGAAAATCCAGCCATCATTTGTCAGTTGAAAGACTTTTTTGCAGGACTGTTCAAATTTTCTTAAGAAGAGAAGAAGAATTCTGTCAACTCAATTCATTCTGGACTTAACTATTTGACTCATTAGCGCAACTAGTGTTTGAACATGGAACTGCATCCACCATCATTACCCCCAGGTAAAGAGCAGATGAGTGACAGGACGGGGGCACTTCAGGGGGCCAATCAAATTTCAGCTGGGGCCAATGCCCCTGTGGCTCCGCCCCTAGAACCGCCCCTGGGTCAGCTGACCTCATTCTTTGAGCACAGACTGTTCTATTTCGTGTAAGCTCCGCCCTCTAAGGCTATCGCAGATGGGTACCCCCGTGCGCGTACGCGCATTCTGAAGAGCCAATAGTCCACGCCCACGTGACGTGGGCCTCACCTCGGTCTGTATAAAAGGGGAGGACCTGAGTTCAGCTCCCGATAGCTTACTTTTTCTTC